TATTTGACGCTCAGTGGGGATAATTTTAATACCCCCTCCTCTCTATGACAAATTATTTGCAGTAATAAATGTGAAATAAAACTATTTGTGATGTTGTGGGCATTTCATATTCTAGAATAGATCCAGATATTGTTCCAAATGCCTCCTCTTTTGCTTAAAATTTTTCTTTATTGAACTTCATGGGGGGTCAATGTCGTTCAGGGTGCTCCCTTCACATTTCCTTTTTTAAAATTTTTAAAAGATTTTATTTATTTATTTGACAGAGAGAGACACAGCGAGAGAGGGAACACAAGCAGGGGGAGTGGGAGAGGGAGAAGCAGGCCCCCCGCTGAGCAGGGAGCCCAATGCGGGGCTTGATCCCAGGACCCTGGGATCATGACCTGAGCCGAAGGCAGACGTTCAACCGACTGAGCCACCCAGGTGTCCCTCTTTTTTTCCTTTATTAAAAAAAATTTAAAAGTAGGCTGCATGCCCAGTGTGGAGCCTAATGCAGAGCTTGAACTCACAACCCTGAGATCAAGACTGAGCTGAGATCAAGAGTCAGGTGCCTGACTGAGCCACCCAGGTGCCCTGATAATTCATATTTCTTTCCTTTTTTTTTTTTTTTTTTAGATTTTATTTGTTAGAGAGAGAGAGCAAGCACAAGCAGGGGGAGTGGCAGGCAGAGGGAGAAGCAGGCTTCCCGCTGTGCAGGGAGCCCAATGCGAGACTTGAATCCAGGACCCTGGGATCATGACCTGAGCCGAAGGCAGACGCTTAACCGACTGAGCCACCCAGGCATCCCTGATAATTCATATTTCTAACAGCTTCCCAAGTAATGCTGGTATTACTGGTCCTGGGGCCACACTTTGAGACGTACTGCATTCTCTATTTATCCATACTGCTGGGGATGATGGATCTTTGGGTTACCGACAATTTATAGCTATCATGAACAATGAACAATGCCACAACTTGTTTAAGAACAATGGCCATAATCTGATAGTCCCATCTGCTCCTGAAAACAAAGATCTTGGGTATTTTTGAGAAATTTTTGCTGGGATCTCCTAAAACCTTTTGGTGCCTGGAAATCTCTCTGCACATATCCACCACACAGAGACACAAACTGTATTATCTAGGGTTGTGCTGAGTTGAATTGTGTTTCCCACAAACATACACTGAAGTCCTGATTGCCAGTGCCTGTGAATAGGACCTTATCTGGAAACAGGGTCTTTGTAGAAGTAATCCATTGAGGTCGAGCTGGGGTAGGGTGGATTAATCACAATCCAATATGATTTTTTTTAAATGGAACAGTTATAACAATATGCTTTAATAAAAGAGAGGTCAGTCTCAAAATATTGTACTGTACTCATCCTTATTCATGTGATGATGTGAGATGATAAAATGCCTACATGTTGAGGTAACGTGGTGAATGATACAGGCATTGTGACATAGTGTTAGGCTACTGACGACCTTCTGATGAGTCAGAGGGCCATCTGTTTCCAGACCACAGTTGACCTCACGTGTAACTGAAACCATGGAAAGCCAAACTGTGGATAAGGGGGAACTAATGTATTTTATGTCGTGATAATTGTTGGTGCTTGGTGATGGATCAGATTGGTAATATAACTCTTTTGTTTCAAAAATTCTATTATGAAAAGATACCAAAACAAAGACAATTTTACAGATTTGGAAGTCAGACAGCCCCGACTGACTTGACCTGCCTCTTACTGGCTGTATTAGATAACTTGGGAACATTGGTTCCCTTTTCTTTCTTTCTTTTTAAAAAATTTTTCTTATTGTTATGTTAATCACCATACATTACATCATTAGTTTTTGATGTAGTGTTCCATGATTCATTGTTTGTGCATAACACCCAGTGCTCCATGCAGAACGTGCCCTCTTTAATACCCATCACCAGGATAACCCATCCCCCCACCCCAATACGATTTTTTTAAAAAAGATTTTATTTATTTATTTGACAGAGACACAGTGAGAGCAGGAACACAAGCAGGGGAGTGGGAGAGAGAGAAGCAGGCCTCCGGCGGAGCAGGAAGCCCGATGTGGGGCTCTATCCCAGGACCCTGGGATCATGACCTGAGCCGAAGGCAGACGCTTAGTGACTGAGCCACCCAGGCGCCCCTCCAATATGATTACAGTCCTTATAAGAAGAGAAGAAGAGACACGTGGGCAAGATGGCCCTGTGAGCATGGCAGCGTTGGAGAGACTGGAGGGATGCATCTACAAGTCACGGGACACTGAGGATTGCTGGACCTACCACGAGCTGAAAAAGTCAAGGAAGGATCCTTCCCCTGAACTTTCCAGGGCCCAGCCTGGTCTTGCTGACACTGGATTTTAGACTTCTGGCTTTCAGAACTGTGAGAGAATACATTTCTGTTGTTTTAAGCCCCCTGGTTTGTGGTACTTTGTTATGGTAGCCCTGGGAAACAAATACAAGGGTGGTCTGACGCTTTTCCCTCAAAGAGGGGTCAAGTATGTTTTCCTGAGCCAATCAGTGGGTTCCTTTTCACGGGGCCCATTGGAGTCTGATGTTCACGATACCCTCCCACCTCTGCCCTGCCCGCTTTGTCACCAGCCTCCTGGGTCCCTCTGGTGTCTGCCCCTCCTCGGTGGTACTTGGAGAGATTTGTTAACTCAAATCGAAGCAACAGAAGTGGTCAGTGATGCTGGGCTACCAAATACACTTTGTGATTTAGCAGTTCCTGTAAGTTGATTATGCTTTTACCTACACCTACATACCACTCAGCCGCAATTCTGAAACCCAAAAAGCTCTCAAAAGGAAACATTTCTTCTTACCTCCTTTGATGGCAAACCTCACCTGAACTGAGGTGAGGACATTTGTGGCCCTTACATTATTCCATTTACTGTGAATATCGTGTTTTCACTGCATAAATATCAGTGTTTGTGTCAGTTGGCCAGGATCCCAAGAATGAAGTCACATAGACTGGAGACTTGAACAACAGAAATTTGTTTTTCATGGTTCTGGAGGCTGGAAGTCCAAGATCATTATGTGGGTAGGGTTGGTGTCTTTCTGAGACCTCTCTCCTGGCAGTGTGGACAACTGTCTTCTCTCTATGTCCTCACATGGTCGTTCCTCTGTGTACCCTAATCTCCCTTTAAAATAAGGATTGTGGGGAATCTGGGTAGCTCAGTCGGTGAAGCCTCTGCATTCAGCTCAGGTCATGATCCTGGGGTCCCTGGATCGAGTCCCGCATCGGGCTCCCTGCTCTGCGGGGAGTCTGCTTCTCCCTCTCCCCCATCCCTTCACCCCGTTTGTGTTCTATCACTCACTCTCTCAAATAAATAAATAAATAAATAAAATCTCTAAAAATAAAATAAGATAAAATAAAATAAGGATTGGATTAAAGCCCACCCATATGACCTCATTTTACCTTAATGATCTTGTTAAACACCCCATCTCCAAATACATCCATATTCTGAGGTCCTGGGGGGTAAGGACTTGAACACACCAATTTTGGGGAACACAATTCAGCTCACAGCAGTATTTAATCACAGGTGCTGCCCCAGATCTGATGCAGGGAGCTCCTTGACACAGGACATGTAGATCTAAAGATCTAAAGAAGTCTGAGGTCTGGGGCACCTGTTTGGCCCCAGACTCTGTGGAAGGACCTCTATTACAAACAGATCCTGAGGGCATCTAGGGTGTGAAGTGGGTCATCTCTGACCGCTAGGGTCCAGATGAGGTAATCTGTTAGAAGTGACCTGGTCAGGGATGTGCTGTGAGCCACCCACACTCCTGAAATTTCCCATAGCTGGGGTGCTGCTCCACCCACAGCCCAGGCAGGAGTTTGTGGCTTTCTAGAGTACAGAATCTTCTGCTTGGCCACGCCCACTTCTGTCCCCTGCTCCTGGCCAGGGCAGCTGAGGGGCCCCTTGGACTCAGCCAGGCCCACAAGTGCTCACTGCCATTATCTCCCCCACCCTTCATGGGCCTGGAACTAGCATCAGCAGCCACCCAGGTGCCTCAATTTCCAGAGAAGAGCATCCTGTAGCCTCTCTACTCAGCCACCCTTCAACTTCTTCAAGATGAGCAGCTCCTTAAGAAGGCTACAGTTGATAAACCATCCTGTGTGTAGCTGGGGCCTTCACCTGGTCCCATCTTGGGAAGAACCACTAGCCGGAGATATCAGTAGCCAGGGGCCTGGGAGCTAGTCCTGGGCGACACTGGCAGAGGGATTTCAGCAATCCAAATCATAGTTCCCATAAAAGAAGTGGAGTCAAGAACCCAGACCACGCAGCATGCCAGAGGCTTCCAGATCACATCTGTCAGGTGCCCCAGACAGAGCCTGGCACACACAGGAATGGCAATGAGGAGATATGGAAAGGGCCCCTAAAATTTCCTCCAATGACAAGGTGGAAGGTGCTGGGAATCCTCTTCAGGCTCCTGCTCCCACCTCAGGTCCCCTCCTAGGAGAGCATCACACGACACTGGACACCTGGGCTGTTTCCGACACAGCCCACGGTGGGCCACCCAGGAGCCCTGTAGCGAGAGCAGAAAGAAATACCCAGCAGATCCTGCCCCTTGCTCTTGGCACCCAGCCTGTTGGGGCTCAGGCCTCAGGGCGCCTGCTCTTCCCACAACCCCTGCCCTGAGGGTAACCTTTCCACAGCCTTCCCGAATGCGCCCCAGAGCCCCATGCCATCCACGTGCTCTGAGGGCCCCCTGTCCTCGCAGTGCACCCCCCTCCACAACCCATCATTAGGCACACAGTAAGCCCGCACGTCACACTGGTGGCCTGGGCGAGAGGGGGCGGGGCCTGCGTGGCAGGTGCATTTGCTGTCACACTGGGTATTTCACTCTGCCTTATGGGAGCTTCCTGAGGACTCCACACAGGCAGGAGGAATGTGAGGGTGCGTGCAGGCATCACCCAGGTAGGAGGATAGGAGAGGCCGGCTCTAGTGCCCCAGGAGAACATGTGGGTCTGTGAAATGCAGTTTTTATTTAAAGAACAACAAAACCCTCAATCTGACCATTTTCTGCATTAGCCTATCGGGTGGGCAGCTGGTCTCCCCTCATCCCTCCACGCTGCTTTTCCATGTCCTGGGTCCCGTTCCTTTTCCTGGGGTCCCTGGGGTCTCTCTGAAGTCACAGGGTCGGCCAAGGGCTCACTGCTACGAAAGTGGATGAAGAATGTCCGGATTTCCTTTGGGTAGATGGTGACCTTGGTGCCTTGCGGGGGTGCCGAGTGAGAGCTGGAGCTGTCTAAGGGAGCAGAGATGGTCTGTCCTTAGATCCACCTGCTTCCCCAGGGCATTTCCACTCAGCATCCCTCTCATACACTGTACCCACCTAGACTCTATGGTGACTGTCTGATGAAGGTCCTTGAGTGCCCCTGTCCTGCCAGGACCCCACTGTCCTGGGCCCCTTGCATTTTGGCCCTCCCATGAGCATAATATATAGGTGGTCCTGGCCATACATGGCCTCATTTCCCATGGAGTGTAGCACTGAATGCCTAGAGCTTTTTCAGTGAAGCCGTCTGGTGGGCTTGCTCTTTATATTATTGGGTTTCACTAAATTCAACCTTGAGAGGGAAACCTCTTCATCCATTCATCCACCCACTCACCTATCCATCCATCCATGATCCATTAGTCCATTGATCCATCCATCCTTCCTTTCAGTCATTCAAACACTCAACCTTCCAAAGACTCATCCATCCATCTATCCATCTATCACCCATCCATCTATCCATCCAGCATGCATGCATACATCCAACCATCATCCACCCACACACTGATCCATCCATCCACCACCAATTCATCCATCCATCATCCATTCATTCAGCTATCAATACATCCTTCCTTTCATCCATTCACATAATCACATTTCCATATACCCATGTATCCATCCATCCATCCATCATCTTGCAGAAAGAAATAGACATCTACCCATCCATTTATCCATCATCTCTCTATCATTCGTCATCTATCTACCAATCCATCTATCCATCCATCATCCATCCATCTATCCATCAGCCATCACCTATTCATCATCCATCCATCCGCCCATCCATCAACCCATCCATCAATCCACCCATCCATCCATCTATCATCCATCTATCCATTCCCAAATGACACAGTGTCCAGCTATGTAGGTGGCACTCTGCTGTGTGCAGTGCACAGAGGATGCATGGGAAAGAGGAAAGAGAGGGAGAGGAAACAAGGAGGAACCTGACCCAGCCCTGGGCTCCGCAGAAGCTTGAGTAGGGGTGGGCCAGAGGGAAGAGGACAAGGGTGATCCAGGCGGAGGGAACAGCATGGGAAAGACTGGGAGGCATGAAGCTGCTGTGGTTCCCAGGAGCTGATGGTGGTGTGTGCAGTGTGAGGCACAGCATGGCAGATGTCAGAACCCCCTGGGATATGCTTGCCAGTTCAGGACAGAACCAGGGGTGTGGTCTGCCGACACACACACAGGCATGCACACACACACTGACCTGTGGTAGATTCAGGACGATACAGAATCAGAGAAGCAAAGTGGCCTGCTCAAGGTCACACAGGCCATAAGGGGCAGAGCTGGGATCTAAGCAAGGTCTGGCCAGCTTCTGAGTGAGACGGGGGGCATGCTGGGATTCCTGGCTTGGCCTGAACCAGGGGCTCCCAAACCTCTGCGGTGGGGACGATCCTGTGTCCTCCAGCTCCAGCGGTGCAGCGTGCTCACATCCCAGGTCCCTGTGAGCGAGCGCTCCTCCACCGCCACCACGGACCCCAGCCCCTGCAGCACGACCTGAGGGACAGGGACAGGAGCACAGGGAGGGTGAGCTACCCCCAAGGCCCCATATCAGAGCAGAGTCAAAGCAGGAGCAGGGGCGGCACCCACACCCCCCGCACAACACACCTCCTCATGAATTCTTACAGCAAATCCCCAGAGGGAACTGTGTGCCCATTTTATAGATGAGGACACTGAGGCCGGCACCAGCATGCTTCCCCAGGTACTGTGCTGGATGAGCATACCCAGGGGGAGGCAGGCACAGGAGCTGCCTCCAACATCCAGACCCCTTCTCCCCGGTATGGCTCAGGGGGCGGCCCCAGGGATGAGGCCAGGAGTAGCTATCCATCTGCTGTGCCAAGTAAGCAGGGACCCAGCCTCCTGTGCGGGCAGGGAGGCAGGTGGCCCGTTCTGGCCTGAAAAGGAAGGGCGGGCTGGCCGGGAGGTGGGACAGTTCTGGAGAAGCTTCTCTGCACCGACAGAAGGAGAAAGCACTTGGGGGCAAGACCCCTTCTGCTGCGGCCTTCCCCGCTCCTGCGGATCCACCTGCTTGCGAGGCGTGTGCCTGCTGGTGACCACAGGGGATGATCCGAAGAGAAATAGCCAGCACGCTGATGAGGCCGGCTGTGGGACAAAGTGACCCAGGGAGGGACCAGAAGGAGAAAAGGCAAGAAGCCAGGGAGAGGCGGGTGGGGTGCCCCGCGCCCCCACACAGCACCCAGGCCAGGGTGAGCAAGAGTGCCTGTAGGCATCTCTCTGCCGAGGTCTTTGCCAGAGGGGATGACCACACTGGGGTTTGCCTCCCTGCTGGGGCTTCAGGCCACGGCCAGGAAGGCCTGTTCCAGGGGCCTGAGGGCACTCACCTCCAGGTTCACACTCACTGGCTGAGACAGGACTGGATCCTCCCCCACCTCATACAGGTGGTGGAGCCTCAGCAGGACACGGCGGAGGTCCACCTTGGCCTTCCCTCGATGGCCTTCAGGGACAGAAGGACCCCCATCAGGCCCAGTTGTCTAGTCTGGGCCCAGCACTCGACCCCTGCCCTTCACTTTGTACCCTCAGCCTCCCTGGGAGGCAGCTGACACCGTCCCCGCTTGATGGACAAGGAAACAAGGCTCAGAGAGGTACACTCACTTGCCCAAAGACACGCAGCTGGTGGGCACCAGAGGGAGGATTCCAGCCCAGGTCTGGCAGCCTCTGAGGCCTCCTGCCACACCCACAGGGGCGATGCTGAGGGCCCCTGCAAGTCTTGTCTCCCCTTGTCTGCTGCTGGGGTCCTCACTGGACCTGTCCTTAAACCGCCCAGGACTATGCCGGACCCCCCTTCCCTGCCCCCATATGCTGTGGTGTGGCCCGACACCCCAGGCCGATGCGCAGGGAGCAGAGGGACGTGTCTCTTACACAGAAGCTTCTACAGCCTCCGTGAAAGAGGAAGCACCTGCTGCATACGGCCTCCATCAGCCGGGGGCCCTGGGGGCCCCACTGACAAGGGCCATCTGCTGAGCCCACTGGGCGTGTGGCTCTGGGGAGAAGGAACGTGGCTGTGTCAGGCGGGGGAGTGTGGGGCTCCTGTTCCTGCCGCACATGGGGTTTGTAAAATCCCTTCTACCTGTCCTGGGGGGCAGGGTGGTTACAGATTCGAGCCCGAGGGTCAGGCAGGTCCTCTGTCTCCTGATGGGTGTGGGGGTGGAGGTGAGGCTGAGGACGAGCTGATGTCCAGGACGACGTACCTACTTCATAAGCTGGCCCTGAGCTCGGGGAGAGCAGCGGGGGGGGGGGGGGGGTCACACTCTGTCCCTGAGGCTCCCCTCACTGTGCCCCTGACTCACTGCTCTCCACGGAGGACAGACCTTCATTGAGTGGGTCTGGGGTTACCCCCAGGAGAGCCCCTTCCTCCTCCTAATTGGGAGCCAGCTGTCTATAGGGGACCCAGTCTCTTGCATGTGACCTTGCACACAAGTGGGAAGGGAACGCTCTGACTTGTAGGGGAGGTTCCCGGCCCAGCATCTTCTGTGACAGTGGGGATTCCTGATGATGGGGTTCAGTGCTAGAAAGCCACTTGGCTGCAGGCATGAGCCATGGCCCCCAAGGTCCATTTTATCAGATAAAGGTGTTATCTGGCCTATTGCCTCTTCCTTTTCCTCCTTCCTAATTCTGCGCAGTCCTACTGAGCAGTCTTCGGTGCCTGCCAGGACCTGGGAGGGGCTCTGGGGACAAGACCCCGGCTGAGGGGCAGCCAGCCCTGCCTTTGAGCTGCTCCCAGTGGAAAGGGGAAGATAAGGTGCAGCTGGAGCTTTGGCAACAGGATGGGTCGGTTCATGGCAGGTGTCACCTCCACCAGGAAGCCCTCCATGATGCCCTGCTGGGGGCTTAATGTGAACACCAACATCACTGGCTGGTGACTTGGCTGCTTCCCCCTCTAGTCTGAGAGCTCTGTGAGTCCAGGGTCCTTGACTACCTTGGTCACTGCTGATTCCCCAGTGCCTGGCACAAGAGATATTTGTTCAGTGAATGAATGGAAGCTCTGGACAGTCAGGCTTCCTGGGTTCCGAGGACGAGTGGCACTGTCTGTTCGGGGCTCCAGGAGGAGTCCCTGAGGAGGCAGGACTGCACTGCAGGCTGAGGGTCTGGCAGAAGGTGGACGATGACTGGGGTTTGGTGGTGGGGTTAGCAGGGATCCATCAGAGAATGGGTGTGGACAGGTCCTGGGCTGGGGTCCATGCCCACCGTGTACCCTGCTTGCTGAGTGACCCTGGCCCCCCAGGGCCTCTCTGTGGGCCTGGGTCTCCCCACTGGGGAGAGAAGGGGATCAGGTGACCATGCGGAAGCAGGACAACACCGAGAGGAGCCCACTTTGTGTGGTGATGGGCGCGGGGCCAGGTTGACATGGGGAGGGAGCCGTGAGTCTGGTTCCCTTGGACACCTGCCCCACCTTTCTGGAGGTTCTGCAGGTGCTCTGTGTGGTTGGAGCTGTAGTTCCAGCCTGGGATGCTCAGGATCTGCAGGTGAAGACTTGGGGGCAGGGTCACGGCTTCTTGCTGCTGGGGGCCTGGGAGATTCTGGGCAGTCTCTGCAGGGCAGACACACAGAGCCAGGACGAGGATTGGGACCATGGTCCTCCTGCTGGCACCCGGAGCTCGGCACACTACGTGCCCCCGATCAGGTGACCCGGCTCCTGCCCACGTGAGCCCCACAGGGAGACAGCCTGAAGCACCTGCTGCTCCAAGTGCCTCAGGCACCCCCTTTCTTGCATTTGCCCACGGACATCCTTCCACCTGGATGCCTTTCCTCCCACATGCCCAGGGGCCTAGATCACAGAGTCTAAGAGCTGGAAGGACCCTGAATCTCTAGTCCAGCCATTTCAAAGTACAGATGGGGAGACTACCGCCCAGAGAGGTGATGGGGTTTGTTCCAGATCACAGGGCAGGTTCATGCAGAGCCCTGATTTCAATTCAAGGTCTGAGATGCAAGCTCCTCCCTTGTTCTGTCATCCTTGGTCCCCCAGCTCAGAGGGCACCTCAGCCCCTCCTCCTCCCAGGAAATGCCCTTTCAACTCTGGGCTCCAGCTGGGGCACCACCTCCTCCCAGTCCCCCGGCCACAGTGATTGGTCCAGGCTCAGACCTCCAGCTCCTCTCTGCACCAATCAGAAACTTTCCCTGGGACCTCTGCCCCTGAGCATGGGAAGACTGAGCTCAGTCCTTCTGCAGGGGTAGTGTGGAGGGGGGCATGCACTACGCAGGAGTTCACAGCCTCATCCCAGTAAGGAGGGTAAAGAAGGTTGCAGACAGAGAGAAGCACAGCTGAGAGTGTGAGGGAGAGGGATGGCTTCATGAAGGTTCCAGCCCCTGAGCGCCAATTGCACCCCTGCCCTTCCCGCAGTCATGTGCATTCACCTTGGGATAGGGTCTCCTGTTGGCTCAGCCAGTGCATGTTGAGTTTTTCTCACTTTCAACCAAGAGAGACCAGAGTGGGGCCGGTGGGAGATGCTGACCTAGCCACGGGCCCTCCTCCGACAGGGGCCATGGCCCTCTGTGCAAAGGGCTCCCAGCCTCCTGGAAGGAACCACTGAGTCATCCTGAAGCAGACCCCGACCTCCTGGCCCATCGGATTGGGAATCGGGAGCCTGAGACCCAGAGGTGGCCAGGCAGGCAGCTCTTGGCAGTCCTGCAGGGATGACCGAACACCTGCTCCCTGCAGGAACCCCAGCGGCCCTGCCCCCACCCCGCCTGCCCATGCCTCTCATCCAACTGCTCTGATTCCAGGAGCTTGTCTACACTCTGCCCAACCAGCTGTCCCTTCAGTGTCTCTGACTTCCAAACAAGAGAACCTCAACTGACACCCCTCCAAGTGGATCCTGCTCTCCTCCAGGCTCTTGGTCCCCAAAGCACAAGGCCCCAGGCTCTTTCCTCAGTACCTCTCCCTGTGTTCCCTGAAGCCTGGATGTGTGTGAGCATGGCTCCCCAGTGGACAGCTCAGGAGAAATCCTTCGGGAGAGGCCTGGCCCTTTAGCCATCCCTGGTGCGCAGCACACAGCAGGCACTCAATACGTTCTTCATACAAGAGTGAGCAACAGCCTGCCTGCTTCTAAAGACCTGGGAGGGCCCCGGCTCTAAAACTAAAGCAAGGAGAAATTATAACCACATTCTCTTCAAAACCTCAGCAAGTGAGTAGAACAGAAACACTTGAAGGATTAGTGAGACGGCTACCAAATTGTATCTAGCTGTTTCATTCTTTAAATGATGCTCCGAAGTACCATCTTTACACACGATCATTACCTATTGTTTCTCATGTTCAATTATTTTCATACAGACACAGACTGTGTAAGTCAATAGGGGTCTGAGTGGAGGCAATGCCTGAGCTTTGCAGATCACACCTGGATTCACCATCACCTGGTGACAGCATACCCAGAAGTCAAATGAAACAAGTCTTTAATGTTGATCTTCTAGGTATGAAGCCATATATGTCATATTAAAAAAGAAAAAGAGACATCAGAGAAGAAAATGAAAGATACTCAGGGAAAATGTAGAGGGTAGAATGGGGGTGAGTCTCAGAAAAGCTCTCACTACCTACATGAGCTTGAGTGAACCCTGGACCTCTTTGCCCGAGTTTGCCCACACCTTAAGTGAGGACTTTGGATCAGAGATCCCTGAGTTCCCTCTGCTCAAAGTTGTCCAGATCACTGGTGGCCCACACCCCTCCCCAGGTCTGCCCCGGCCAGGTGGGCTCATTCTGGGGTGAAACCCCCTTACCATTCAGCTCTCTTAACACCACTACAGGTGCGTGCTGCAGCGCCAGCCCACTCCTCCGGCGCAGGCCCGTGGTGAGCGGCCGGGGTCCCAACAGGAACCAGAACACAGGCTGGACAACAGAGGTGTCGTTCAGTGTGAGGTCGTATTCCAGAGCCCAGTCGAAGTTGTTCCACAGCCGGCGATGGAGCATGACCTGCAGGGAAGAGCTGTCTGACAGGCCCCCGTCCCACCTGCTCGTGCCCCGGGGGGCCAGGAGGGCCCACTTCCTACCTCCACCTGCCCGTTCCCTTGGCTGGAGACGCCATGTGCCTGCTCAGACAGCAGCACCAGCCTGCTTCGGCCGTCCTCGATGAAGGCGGACTGAACCATGGGGTAGTAATTCTGTGGACACAAACATGGCCACACTGGCGGTCGTGGCAAAGGACCGGCAGACCTGCTGCTCGGGGTCCCCCTCTGGCCACCCCAGCCAGCCCCGCCCCCCCACGGGCACAGCAGCAGCTCAGGGTGCAGCAGGGAGACTACGGTAGAGGCTCTGACGTTGGAGACCAACAGACTGTCATTCACATCCAACTCCACTGCTTCCTGACCATCTGAGCTGGGGACTTAGCCCACTCAAGCCTCAGTTTCCCCACCCATACAATGGGCCCAAAGACCCACTCTGCACATTCCTGCAGGAGTGATGAGGGGGTGTGTGGGGTCCAGCCTGATGTGGGTGCTGGGCCGAGGGTTGCTACAGAGAGAAAGGGACGAGTGTGGGCTGGTGGGGGTGGCAGCCACACCCTGCACGCTCTGAGCTCCTGGAACAAACACCCTGGCGGACCCACAGGGATTGTCAGGAGCCCCTGCACAGTGGGGAAGAGCGATCAAGTAGGGACGAAGGGACCAGAACTCACGAGCAGAGCAGGGAGGGGACACACCCCTCTGGGCCCCACAGGAGGAGCAAGAACTGATGTTTACCGGGGCACAGGAGGCCCGCAGTGCGGGCTTCACCTGGATTGTTCCCGCTGACCCTCACAGCCCGGGGGGCCGAGGTCATTCCCTTGATCGGGTCAGCAGGGAGCCATAGGGAGCCGACCAGCTTGCCCAGGGTCACAGGGCTGGAGGCCTAGGATGTGGGAGCTGATGTGTGGCTGGGGTACCGGGCTTCCCGCTCCGGCCGGCTGGAAAAGCGCCATCTGGGCTATCCCCGTGGGCACGGGTCCAGCCGGCATCCTAGGGCGTACCCGAGCGATGCTGTTGCTCGTGTGTTCCCGGAAGAGTCTCCGCTGCATCTGGTAGCCGTTACTGTCCGAGTAGAGGACCTGTCGGTTGTGGAGACTGGTGCTGGTCCTCAGGATGGCCTCGCAGTTCAGCTCCAAGGGGCCCACCCGGTACTCCTGCTCGATTCGACGGCAGAGCAGCTCCCCACCATGGCCGACTGGCACGTGGGCGAGCCGCGAGTAGATGGCATATGTGTGATTCCTGTCCCTCACCTTCCTGGAGCAGAAGTGGGAATTGGCGGGTCAGGCTCTGGGAGCTTTGTGGATGCCCCTCCCTTCTCCTTCCCCTTTCCTCCCATCTTCCCTCCATTTGCCCTCCCTCCCTTCCTTTTTTCATGCCCCCTTCCCTCCTTTCCTCCTTCCTGCAGTCAGGCTGAGGGCAGGAAACCTTCCTGGACCGTATAATGGGAAGAGCCTGGTACCACGATAACCAGAACTGGGGTGCCCAGCCTGGATGGCTTCGGTCTGTGCTGTCACCTGACTTCTTGTGTAAGTCATTATCCCTGGGTTCCTGTCCCAGCTCTGAACTTGGACACCCCCCACGAGGTACAGCACGTGCACTGGAGCCAGGATGCCCCCCCGCCAGGGCAATCACGCCTTCATCAAGTTCCCATCGAGAATGACCGTGTGCCAAGCAGCGGTCCAGGAGCAGGAATCAGGAACACACACGGACCCTGATTCCCTCGTACACGTGCCCACGTGCACCCAGGGAGCCCGAGCGCACCTGTAGAAGAACTGCCGGATCTCCGTCATGAGCTTTCCTGCCACAATCTGCATCCCCACGCTTTTCCATGGGCGCTTCGCAGTGTCGGTGGGGACAAACACAATGTTATCAGATATAGGGCCATATCTCAAATTACCGTTGACACGGTACTCCATGAACTCCTGGGTCACACGCACTGTGCGGTTACTCTCTCTGCAGGGACAGGAAAGGGAAAACAGTATTCTCTTCATGCACGTGTGTCCTGAGCATTGTCCACGTCCTCTGGGAGCTGGCGAACAAGCCTTCTATGCAGACACCCACCTCCACCAAAGCGAAGAGAAGCGACTTCAGCAGAACCTCAGTGACAGTCACGAGGCCGCTCGGTGACACCCATGCACGTGGTTCAGATAAAGTCCACGAGACAACCCCTCCCCTGAGCCAAGTGGCCTTAGATCCTTCCATGTGCCGGGGGACCCCAAACAGGAGGGCCACAGAGGCTGCATAACAGGCGCCCGAGAGCATGAGCAGAGGGCATTAATGCTGCCCCAGAGGAAACGTCCCTCGGAGGTGGTGCCTGGTCATCAGGCGGCCAGCAGCACCACCCCACACCTTTCCCAGGGACCCTGAGGAGCACTAGCAAGGACTTTGTCATGCAGACCCCCAGGAGTCCAGGTGTCAAGAGCCAGCACCTTCACGTACTTCGCTGCCTCCTCCTGATTCCCGAGGGCAGGGAATATGAACCCACTTTGCTAACGAGCCCCGCGAGGCTGGGGGCCGTGATCACTGGCACAGGATCACATGTCTGGGAAGAGCCCAAAGCAGGACTCAGGCTCTGTTCCAACAGCACGATCTGGGCTCATTCCATTCTGTTCAGATACTGGGGCTGGGACGGGGGATGGGGGAAGGGTGGGCAGGGACTCAGAGCCCTGTAGACACGTGGATGGTGTAGACATGAGTATGGATTGTACCTCTGTGTGTGGTCTAAGCAAAGGCACAGCCATGTATTGGGATCGGGGCATGGCGCTGCCAGCAGCAGAACATGAAGTAATATCCCTTCCACACCCAACTGGGGGATTTCTGTGCTATGGTGGTGGGCATGGACAGGAAAGCGGTGGGGAGTGGGCATCTGAGAAGGGCCCCTCTCGCCCTTCTGAAGAGGCCAGAAAAGATCCTGGTCATTAGTCTGGCCCCAAGCCCTTTCCCTTCTGCCTGCAGGCTGCCCGCCCCCGCTTCCTTTCATCTGCTCCCCCAGGTGTCGTCAGCTAGAGACTGGAGTCAAACGTGCTCCATCTGTTGCGGGAATAACACTGAGCCTGAGGAGGGATGCGGCGCTCATGCCCGTGGCAGGCATTGTGGACGGACCTTGGACACACGATGCTCGGGGGAGGGAGCCAGTCCCACAGGGCTGCATCGAGTTTATCCCCTGGTATGAAATGTCCAATTTAGACAAATGCAGACAGACAGAGAAGGGTCAGAGGGGCCATGAATGTGGCAATGCTCACATGGGCTGTGAGTGTCCTAACACCACAGATGGGGACCATTTCCATGGCTGAGCTGCATGGTCAGTGAATTCTACCCATAATGCTGTTATATAAGAAAGAATCTTCCCTCCACCCACCCTCCGTGGGGTGGTCTTGGCACATGGTGGCCTCCCCCTTGAGCCTCTGCACAGGAGGCTCCTTCCATGGAACAGGTATCCCCTCGTCTGGGCCCATGAATTCTCTGGCCCTGCCAGTCCTCAGGCCTGGCTCCAGGTGCCTCCTGCCCACCAAGCCTCCTCTGAGCCCACTGCCCTCCATTTCCATAGCTTCTCTCTGTGACCAGGGGTCAGGCACTGGACTATCAGTTTACCCTGGAGGGGATTTCAGGGACCCATAAGGAACACCCAGTCCTCACTCCCTGAAAAGCAGCAGAGACAGACGAGGGTAGGGGGGTGGTCGGCAGCCCACGCACTGTACTGCTAGACATGCCGGGTGGGTCGTGGCTGAGGATGAAGCCTTCATGCGATGCACACATGGAAGGCGAGGTGGGGCTGGCTCAGCAAGGGCTGTCTAGCAAGGGGCATCGGGTCTGGCTGGAGAAGCATCCCAATACCAGCCCGGGGACTCTGCTCTGACCAGGGAGGCTCAGAAGTTGCCTGGCCCTGCCCGGGTTCCACCGCTGTCCCCACTCTTCCCTCCCCACCCACGCTGGCTGCAGTCAGCCCCTTCTACCTGCCACAGCCTCTCTCAAGAGGATCTGCTGAACGATGAAGGACATGGCTCTGATGGAGCCCCTCTGTCGGGGACTTCCTAGTGCTGTGAGGCTCCAGAGTTATGCACAGCTGCCTTTGGGCTGAGCTCTAGGTGCCACTCACCTGGCACCCATGCTCCTCCCTCCCCCTTACTTTCTGCCAGCTGCTCCTCCCAGACTCCCTGTTCCTCCCCCCGCTCCCCATCCTGTTGGGAGGTCACATCAGGAAAAGCAAGTGGCTGTTCTGGCAGAGGCAGCAGGGGTGGAATGACAGCTATCTAGGATGTGGCCTGAGTATGGACAGGGCTGGCCCCAAAACACCTGGGAGGCTTTTTCCTGGGGGTCACCTGCTTTCTCTGCTGTCAACAATTAGTTACTGAATGAATGGATATGTAAATGGATATATGGATGGATGGATGGTTGGATGGGTGGATGGATAGAAAGGTAAACAGACATGGATAGATCAAATGGCAAGTGGATAGAAGTATGTGTGTAGGCATGAATGAGTGGGTAAGTAGGTAGATATATGGATGGATGGGAGGGTAAGTGGATGGATGGATGGGTGAATGTGTGGTTAGGTATGTAAGCAGGTATATATACAGATGGATGGGAGGTGAGTGAATGGATGGGTGGATGGTTGAGTGAGTGAGTGGATGGATGGATGGTTGTGTGGTTGGATGAATATATAGATGACTGGGAGGATAGTGGATGGATGGAAGGATGAGTGGTTGGATGGATAGATGGGTGGATGGATGGATGGAGGATGGATGGATGGATGTGAGGGTGTGTGAGAGGGTACCTGATGGGCGGATGGGTGGTTTGGTGTGTGGATATAAAATGATGGTTATGGGGGTTAGTGGATGGATGGGTGGTTGGTTAGTTGAATAAACGGATGAACATGAAGGATAGTGGATGGATGGATGGATGGATGGATGGATGGATGGATGGATGGATGGGAGGGCGAGGTGATGGATGGGTGGGTGGATGGTTGGATAGATGGATGAACAAGAAGGATACTGGATGGATGGATGGATGGATGGATGGATGGATGGATGGATGGATGAATGGATGGACGGATGGACAGACGGATGGATGAATGGGAGGATAAGGTGATGGACAGATGGGTGGATAGTTGGATAGATGGATAAATAAGAAGGTTAGTAGGTGGATGGATGGATGGATGGATTGATGGTGGGATGGATGGATGGTTGGATGGAAGGGTGGGGTGAGGTGTAGGATGGATGGGTGGATGGTTGGATAGATGGATAAACAAGGTTAGTGGGTGGATGGATGGATGGATGGATGGATTGGTGGTTGGATTGATGGATGGATGACAGACAAACAGATACATGGATAGGTGCAGGCTTGGATAGATCGAATGGTAAGTGGATATGTGTGTGGGTGTGAATGAGTGGGTAAGTAGGTGGATATATGGATGGATGGGAAAGTAAATGGATGGATGGAAGGGTGAGTGTGTTGTTAAGTATATGGGTGGGTGGATATATGGATGGATGGGAAGGTGAGTAAATGGATGGGTGGATGGTTGAGTGAGTGAGTGAGTGGATGGATGGATGTGCGGTTGGATAAATATATAGACGAGTGGGAGGATAATGGATGGATGGAAGGATTGGTGGTTGGATGGGTGGGTGGATGGAGGATGAATGGATGGGAGGGTGTATGAAATGGGTAGATGGGTGGGTGGATGGGTGGTTTGATGTGTGGTTATATGGGTGGTTGTGGGGGTTAGTAGGTGGATGGGTGGCCGGATGGATAAATGGATGAACAAGAACGATAGTGGTTGGTTGGTTGATTTGATGGATGGATGGATGGAAAGGCGAGTGGATGGTTGGGTAGATGATGGGTAAGTCGATGGATGGATGGATGAGCGGTTATTGGGTGGGTGGGTACATGGATGGTTATATGTTTCTTTAAATTTAAGATAGTGAATAAAGTGAATATTACATATTCTCCCTGAGTGGGTCTTCAACAACCACTTTGTGGATCAATAGCCCTGGAATGATAAGATTCATGAAGGGCTTTCTTATCCTGGTCTAAGTCTCACAATTGCAGAAATAAAAATGGTAACACAGGAAGGGCCTTAACCACCTTCTGGTGATTCCCCTAGCAAGTGAGGACACAGGCAGGTGGGGGAATGACATGCCCAGGTCCCAGTGCACGCCTCTGCCTCAGAGCCAGCAACGGCTGTACGTCACCTCTCCAAGATGCTGTGCATCAAGTTAGTGTCCCGGTCAAGGAACAAAGTGTAACAGTCATTCTCCACACGAATTAGGTGCCTGCCCCGTGGACCAGCATGTGTCTCTGTCTTGCGGCCAAAGTTGGAGGTTCTAGCCAGACTGGTACCCAATTGCTTGGTGTCTTCTTGGGTCCCCTGGGTGCGCGTGATGCTGTAGTGTCGATAACCGAGGCCTGGGATTGTGGTCAGCACATGCAAGTTGTAAGCAGGGTGCTTCTCCTTTGATTCCTGGACCTGCAAGGCCAGCAGAACAAAACAAAATGGTGGGTCTCAGTATCCTCAGTAACCTGTGACTTGCACACCTCCTGGGCAAGGTGCTCACTACTCACAGGCAGCAGGGTCTTTCCAACATTGGACTGTGCTGAGGTCCCTCCAGGCATCCTCCCTGCTCAACAGGATCCTGCCCCAGCCCCATCTCCCTCCCTGGCCTCCCCCACTCCTCAGACTCCAGCATCAGCAACTGCCCTCCCTTCTCAGCACCCCTGCTCTTTCCTGCCTCTGAGCCACTGCCCATGTTGTTCCCTATCCCTGGAGGGCCCTCTCTCCAAAGGGGCACTCTTATTTCACAATCTCCAATTTCCCCAAGGGGGCATATTCCTGTTCACCCACCTGGCCTTCCCCAACCCTCTGTCACATGAACTGGGAGGGATGGAGGAGGACCCTGGGCACACTCAGCCGAGCCTCTCACTCTTTTGGGGAAGCATGCAGCATCCGAGCCCCCGTGGGAACCTTGGGGGCCCTATTAGCAACCCCAGAATGGCTGCACACACCGTCCCACCCAGGCTCTGTGGGACATACAGCAGACACCTTGTCCCTGCCCCCATCACCTCCATTGGTCACATTAACATGCTCTTACTTGGTTTCCTGCCTGTCACCCAGGGCGAGAATATGAGTTCCCTGCAGGCAGGGACTTCATGGGCTTGGTTATTAAGGAAGCCTGGCACCTAGGGCAGGGCCTGACACACAGCAGGTCTCCAAAATATTTGTTGAGTGCATTTACTCTGAGTGGTGTTGCGTGTGGGTGAAGAAGGGGATGCCAGGGGTTGGGTCTGCTGAAACCAACACCGTCCCGTCTCCCTGCCCAGGTCGATGAACTCCTCCTCCTTCTGCATCAACCAAGGCCTGCTACCCTGGCTCCCCGGGTCATCACTCCAGACCACACATGTCCTTTAAAGGTCTGACCTCCCCTCCCCATGGTGGCACTGCTGTCTAGGGGACCAGCACAAAGCCCTGGATGGACCAGATTGCACCTTCAGGAGTGTTTGCTGAGTGGCTGATGTCAGCACCTCCTGCACCTCCGCAGGGAAACACTGGCACTGGGGGACAGGCAGGGTCCCTGGAGCCCCCCTGCTGGCTCCAGCCAGTGGAAGGAAATGAAGACAGATCACACACATGCTGGTATCCGGGTGTGTGGACACAGGCAGCTGGGCCAGCCTGGAACATCAGCGCCTCCACGAAGCACCCCTCTGAAGACTCCTGAGGGCCTTTCCACAGAAAGTGGTCGTTTACATGAGAATATCAATATGCCCCATGGCAGGGGGGTGAGGAGAAGCCTCCAACCAGGGCAGACCACCCAGGAGATCCTCCAGGGGGGAGAGAGTGGCAGGACTTCTGATGCTCATAGGCCAGTGTCAGTCTCCTGGTGGATCCCACAGACCCTACTGGATAAGGGTCCCCATGGGGATATCCTCCAAGTGGGCCCCCATGGTCACATGTTCACGTGAACTGCTCCCATTTCTGGAAGTGCCCTCCAGGAACAGATGTCAGCAACAGCGAGTGTGCCCCGTGCATGCTGTCATGACAGCCATACCTGTGCAGCCACTGGCCGGCCGGACTCATCTGTGACGTTGACCCTGGAGAAGCCCACAGTCAAGGTAACAAGTGTGGTGACCGTCCAGGCCAGGGGGTTGTAGACCACGGCAACGTGTCCCCCAGCTCCTGGGTCTGCACACAGAGAACCGGCGTTACCTGCTGCCATTGGACTCACCCAGCACACCTGGGGGCCCCTGGCTACATGGGAAAATGAGGCAGGAGACACAGCCCCACAGAGCTGCCAGGGCAGCTGAGTATAGGGACCAGTGGGCTAGTGCGCTCCTATACCCAGCGGGCCCCATACTCTGCTCAGAGCTCTGTGTCCAGTCCCCAGGCAGGGGAGGATGAAAGGGATCACTCCGTGTCCCTCTGGACTGTGAGGGTCCCTGTGTTCCTGACACATCATTCCCTGACAGCCCCACTGGACGGACGAGGGAACTGAGGCCCGCAGAAGGACAGTCACCTGCCCAAACTGACCCGCCACTAAGGTGTGGCTACCAAGTTTTGAGTGCTTGGCATTGGGAAGGACTGGAGAATTCTCAGAAGGCTGGAGGGTCCAGTCCAATCGCCTGACCCAGCGTTTGAGCCCCAGTGAGGGTTTGGGTTCATGTCTGTTCTATCCTTTACCCCCAGTAAGGTAAACTCTGGCCATGTCTGATGATTCCTGGACCCCTGAACACATCACACACTTTCCAGCCCCCTGCCCCTGCCCAGGCTGTTCACTGTGGCTGGGACACCTTTCCTGACCTCCACCCGTTCACTGCTCGGGCAAGCCTCCCTGGTGAGGTCATGGGAATGGACGGCACCATCTGGCAGGGAAATCAGACCCTGGTTCCAGCTCTGCTGCAGCTGTCTCTCCCAGCCACCCCCAGGGTCTGTGGGCTGGGACTGTGTGCTGCGTGCATGGTCCCCAGGGGCCTTCCCCAGTCTGAAGGTCAGAAGGCATTGCACACAGACACAGAGGGGAGGGAAGAGCAGGCCAGGTGAGCAGGGAGGTCAGCAGTGAGGGGTGCACCATGACAGAGCGCAGGCTGAGATGGGAGCTGGGGAAGGGGCAGCTGGCCTTGTGCTCATGACATCAGGCCCAGGGAGGGAGGCCGACGTGTCCCGGTGCTCCTAGGACTTTCTGGTCCACAGTTCCTCAGCATGAAGCTGGCATGATCAGTTACTCCATACGTGTGATCCCTTCGCTGTCAAAGGGTCGGACATCAGCACCCAAACTAAGCTTAGGAGGGAGTTGGGGAATCTGGGCTGGGCTCAGGTCCCCGAGGACACCTGCATCCTCTACAATACCGAGCACAGTCCCTGGGTTCAATCCCTGCTCTGTTCCTTCCTAGCTGGGTGACCCTGGGCATGTCCACAACCTCTCTGTTTCTGGTGTGTCCTCAGCTACACAGTGAGGATAATAGCACCCCCTGGCTTACAGACTCTCCACCCACTGCAGTAAACACGGAGGGCTGAGCTCTGAGCAAATGCGGTACTGAGTTGGCTCACATGGTAACCTCCCCATCTTCTCATCACAGACAGGACATGGAGGCTCCCAACAGTCAAGGCACATGCCAAGCTCAGACCAAGCGTCCATGGTGCACAGGGGATGTGGTTGCAGAGTCTGAGGCTTGGGTTGTTCAGGTCCTCTCTGAGACCCACAGGCTCTCTGCTCAGAAAGGTTCAGCCCCCCTCCCACACCTGCAGGGACACCCCATAGGGACCTCACTTACCTGTGAAGGCAGGGGTCCTATCCTGGACGATGGAGGCCATCAGTTCATGCACACCCTGCATCCCTGACCTCAGATTCTTCACGTACATGTCTCTCACCTTGGGGGTCTCAGTCCCAGTGATGGCATGGTGGTGCTGCACCTGCATCCCGACCAGAGTGGGGGAAACACCGGATCAGGCCTGCATCTGCAAACCACCTCCAAGGGGCTGGTTCTCCTTCCTTCTCACCAGCTGCTAGTGGAGCAGGTGAGGGTCCCTAGCACATTCCAGAACAGGAAATTGAGTCTCAGAGGGACTGATGACCTTGCGGAACCCCGCTGAGTCCCCTAACTTGGGCTGAAAACAGACATCTGCAAGGGACCCGCCCCAGCTTCACCTCCATTGTGCAGCGTTCCTGTGAGTGCCACTGGGATTCTCCAGGCACCCTCCATTCTCTGTACCAAAATGGGGGTGGGATGAGCTTCTTCCCCACAGGGAAACTGAGGCCCCAGCAGCTGAAGCCACGTGTCCCACTCACTCCAGTGGACTCTAAAATCCATTTCACCCCCAACACAGTGACACATTCTGCCGTCAATGCCCTTCCGGTGAGTGTGCCAAGGCCATGGCCAGCATGGCGCTTTTCTGGCTGGGTGATGACAAGTTACAGGATTTCTGGGGTCTCAGGTTTCCCATCTGTTCAGTGGGGCACGAGTGGAGACAGAAAATTGGGAGCAACTTGCTACGGGGCAGCCACCGTGCCGAGCAGGTTCTGTACATTCTCACATTCAGTAGCCCCACTATCCGGGGGTGGGCATGAGCGTCTCACTGTACAGGGAGGGAATTAGAGCCCAGAGAGGGAAGTCCCGAGCCTGAGGCCACACAGCAGAGGCGGACTGGGTCCACACAGGACTGTAGGCACCAATGCTTCTCCACTTTGCCCTTTGCCCTCTGGGTAAATTTGGCTCTAAAGCCTACTGAAGCCACCAGCTGAAGGTTGTCAGACCATGGTTCTAGCGTTGGCCCCGTGTCCACATGCACCTGCCATGTGACCACAGGCCACCTGCGCGTTCTGTTTGGAAAGTGGACCTCTAGTGACCCGGGGCTGGGGAAGCGCACTGCACAGCAGGTTTCCAACCTGATCGTGTTGCTGAGAGGTGTGCCATTACCTCGGAGACCGCCCAGCGGAGCTGCTGGAGCTGTTTCAGGGCCCAGTCCAGGTCCAGGTGCTGGTGGGGGGCCGGCCACATGGAGCGTGTGAACATGGACTCCCCGGCGTACAACAGAGCGCTGGCTCGCCTTGCCAGCCTCTTGAGCCTGCTGCGGGACGTGTAGAAGCCGGTCCAGGCCTGAAATGGACCTACAGAGAAGGGCTGGCAGTTGGCGTGAGTCTCCCTGGCCTGGGGGCTTCCTGAGCCCAAGTCCCCGTAGAACCGGGGAAGCTGGGGCCTGGGGTCTGGCTCTGCCTGGGTCACCTATGGAGGCAGCCATACATTCCTACTCTGGCCAGACCAGGAGTGGCCCGGGGATCCCAGAGAGGGGCTGGGGTAGGTGTGAGGATCAGGCTGGGATGGACCAGGACTGGGTTGGGGGACCAGAGAGCCCAGGGTGGACCTGGGAAACCTGGAACCGCCTGTGAGGCCAGGGCCTGGGAGACCTCGGGGAGGGGAGGGGGGGTGGGAGTCAAGTAGGCAGCACCCAGCTGGCACAGGCCCTGAGTGCTGGCAGAGGCCTCTGTATGCGACTCAGGAGCAGTGGGGAGTCCGGGACGAGCCTGCAACCAGTGGGGTTCCACTGGCAGCGCAGGGAGGTGGGACGGGGGAGAGCTGAGGGATCCCGCAGCTGCTGTGCTGACCCACACACATGATGACTCCTGACCAAGGCTCCTCGGGAGGATGGGGGCTGGGTGCCTCCCGGGGAGGGGGGTGGCTGGGTCTCACAAGGTGGTTGACTGTTCCTACTGCTCTTGCCTCCACACAGGCTGAGCAGTGTCTCCATTCCCTGACCGTCCCCCACACGACCTGAGCATACCAGGAAGGGTGGCCCCCCAGCCCCGGGAAAGGAGACCATGTAGTCCTCAGCTCCTGCAGCAGGCTGAGTGTCCTGGTCAGGCAGGGGCACTCCGCAGCCTAAGCTCTAAATCCCCAGTGACTCAGAGCAGGGACCAGGGCTCACCGCACCTGTCCAGGCTCCCAAGAAACATTGTCTTGTTGCAGGGCTGCACCAAGCCGAGCCCATTCAGAACACCCTGCAGGACATTGCCCGATCTCCTCCCTCTTTGGTGTAGCCCCACCTATTTCAGCATAACCCCACCCACATCCACGTATCCATCTCCACCTGGGCTGTAACCACGCCCACACAGATGAGTCTT